CCTGAGAAATATTGCTTGACTTTCAACGGTACATATAGCTCTATATCCCAGAAGACAGAATCTTTGTAACCACCGCTGTGACAACCTAGAATCCTGCATAATTTTCTGCTGTTTTGTATGAGTCTAGAACTTTGACTCTGATGCTGAGGGAAGGGCATAGGCAGTGACGCAGAGGGCATGAAGCTGGCTGTGACAGGCCGTGGAGGTTCGTAGCGTTGCGAGACGTCGAGGCTCCCATACTTTCTAGACAATCGGCTCACAGATGGCGGCAAGGTTGTCTGTCTTACGCGCCGGCCGCCGTACTGTTCCACAAAAACTATTAGAATTTTCAAACGCAGGAATAAGACTAGGGGATGCGTTTAGTACCGATGAGATGCAAGAGAAATGCGTACAAAATTTTGGCAGGAAATTCTGAAGTAAATAGCTCTAGGAGTTGGTACGCGGATAAATTAATTGTAAGGAATATGATGTGAGGGTGTGGACTGGGCTTATTTGGGTCAGAAAGGAGACGAGTGATGGGTTCTTGTGAACACGGTAAAAACACTCACTTTCCATATAATCTGGAAAATATCTTGACTAGCTGAGCAACTACTAGCTTATCAATAAAGACTCCGTCCCATGAAGGTAGTTTGTTGGCCGCGCCATAGCTCAAGCTGTTAGTCGTTGGCTTCCCACCGCGGAGGCCCCGGTTCGATCCCGTGTCTGGTCAAATGGGATTTGTGGTGGACAATGTGGCGCTGGGGAAGGTTTTCTCCGAGTGCTTCGGTTTCCCCTGCCAATCTTTATTCCACCAAATTCTCCATCATCATAATCATCTGGGGTAGGCTACAATAGACTAATCAGTTGCCGCCGTTCCGATTGGACCCAGCTGGACACCATCCCCAACTAAGCGAATTAAAGAAAAGGTACTTTGTTCTTATTTTCCATTAGTCCTGCTTTATCCAATCACCCTAGCAATTAATACCAACTGATGAACAGAACTTCTGACGTTTCTCATTTCTCTGTCTAGTATTCCGGTAATCCTAGTAACTACAGGTAAAAATTACGTGAATTTTATACAGAATTTAAGAAGATAATTGCAATTAAAGGAAATTATGTAACTGCTTACACACTCGCATTTACACTTGTTCTCATATGTTCCAAATTGAATGTAACCTTCCGAAAATTAGAGCATATGTAGTGAAGAATGTAACGTCACAGGTGTTCAAGAGTAGTTCGGAGAGAGCCCGACATTTCGGAGAAACACTTGGTCTCTATCTTCATGGTAGCATAGTAAGCCTGTCTTGGGTCATGTCACTCCAGTATAACCAGCTCATCGTAAAGAAAATTTTAATGCCTTAAAATGCATATCGCATTAATACGCTTGGCTATAATGACAGATATTATTCCATCTGGCCTATGTTTACCCAGATATGAGATACATGAGACATTCCTGTTTTTTTACTGTAGTTTCAGTTCCCTGCAGTGAAGTATCTACAGAAATATATTTTGAGGTTTCCACTGCTGAGATTGTTCAGATTCTGTTATTTTTGGTTTAAGGCCATGAGGTCTTGTTGGTAGATACCAATAATTTTTGAAGGAATACGCTGCCTTCATCTTCAGGGTCGAACTGCATAGAACGAGGAGCCTATTCGGTTGTGTGTGTTCACGGGACATGTGCATCGCCTTCCTTCCAAATTGTTATATACTGTAGCCCCGCAGCTACTCACTATACATGCACCAACCCTGAAGATGGAAACAATATGTTCCTCCGAAACGTCGGTATTCGCCTAGAAGACTACAATACGACAGTCCGGAAGACAATAATCTGAGTATTATATATACTGTTCATTAGTTCTGCTTTCAATAAATACATCTCAAGAGGAAGTGTGTGTACTTCGACTTGGGGCACACCTTTCCTCGCTATTTCACAGAAACCTGTGACCATTCCTTAGCCACGCCCTTGCTCCTAGGATATCTTATCTCTGGTATGAATTCTTCTAGAATCCGCCGCCTGCCCGACGTTAAGAAGGGGCTATTGCTCTCAGGGCAACAGTGTTGCAACGCAGTGCAGCGAGATGCTAACTACGCAGGTACAGTTCACACCATAAGTTACGACCATGACCAGCATATACCCACGTTTTGAAATACGCCTATAGAATCCTATCTTATTATTCAAACTGAAGTTCCAAATTTGGTCTTACACGAAGAAATGTAAATATGTACTATGGCCGCACCGTAACTCAAGCGGTTAGTCGGTGGCTTCCCATCGAGGCCGCCCGGATTCGATCCCAGGTCTGGTCAAGTGGGATTTGTGGTGGACAAAGTGTCGCTGGGGCAGGTTTTCTCCGAGTACTTCGGTTTCCCCTGCCAATCTTTATTCCACCAACTCCACAATCACCCTCACCTATCATCTGGGGCTGGTACAATAGGCCAGAAGTGACGGCAGTACAAGGGACTTAGTCCCACCCCACTAGCAATAAAAAAAAATATGTACTGTACGTGAACACGCCAATAAACTTTCGAGTGCATAAAATTTTAAGAAATTACGTATTGGATAGTTGAATAAGCGGCAGCTTCTCTAGAAAGACTCAGCTCCGTGCAGTCAGTTGATGATCTGAACAAATAATGCTTTGGCATAGCTCTCAAGTAACTTGTGATAGGCGCCATATTGAACAGACTGAAGCATTCTTCTCTTTAGTTCAGCTCCATATGTAGACGAAATTATTGATCATGTTTACGGAGTTCGACGTAACAGGTCCAATAGTGTTCGGATAATCTGCGTTCATGGGATGCAATAGGACTCTACGTCAGCTGTTCCATATGTCAAGAATGCCTATGACTCTGTTAGAAGCCTTGCACGGTACAATATTTCATTGGGTTTGGCATAAGAACGGGTACACGCATGAAACTGCTTAGGGCAAATAAACTGCATTTCAATGACACCTGTATTAAATTGTGTACAGGAGGGATTTCCTTCTTATAATCGTCTGAAACAAAGTGATATTTTATCGCCATTTTTTTTTAATTTCGCTTTAGAACTCGCCAATAAAATGTTAAAAGAAAACCAAAAATGAACGGAATTTAATAGGACACATCCATTTACAAATCAGCTCTAGAACCAATTCTTACATTTTGTCACATGATTTCAGTGATATGCTTGCTACCATTCAGTCCAGAACCTATTGTTTTCTCGTCTGTTGTCCAAAAACATAAAAATTAGAATATACAAAATTATAATTTCTGCCTGTGGTTCTGAATGGGTGTGAAACTTGGTCTCTGACATTAAGGGAGGAACATAGACTGAGGGTGTTTGAGAACAGGGTGTTGACGAGAATATTTGGACCAAAGAGACATGAAGTGACAGGAGGTTGGAGGAAACTGCATAATGAGGAGCTTCATAACTTGTACTCTTCTCCAAGTATAATTAGAATGATCAAGTAAAGGAGGATGAGGTGGGCAGGGCATGTAGCATGAATGGGGGCAAAGAGGAATGCCTATAGGATATTGGTGGGAAAGCCAGAAGAAAGGAGACAACAAGGAAGACCAAGGCGTAGGTGGGTGGACAATATTAGAATGGATCTTAGAGAGATAGGATGGGATGGTATGGATTGGATAGATCTGACTCAGGATAGGGACCAGTGGAGGGCTCTTTTGTACACGGCAATGAACCTTCGGGTTCCATAAAATGCTAGGAAATTCTTGAGTAGCTGCAGAACTGGCGGCTCCTCCAGAAGCGCTCAGTTCCATTAGTAAGTAAGTATACAGGGTTTAGATTGGTAACCGGATGTATTGCACACTTACACGACTCGTTACCACACTTCACAGATTGCTGTCACAAAAACTGGACTTCTGTCCCGGTTTGCTGCGCTGCTTGGTAACAACTTCCAACAGTGGACGTTCCTCTCTGATCACGGACTCACGTCCTCGCAGTCTGACGGCCGTCTCAGAACTCTGTGTAATGGCCAAAGTCAAAGTCACAGTTACTTTACGACTGTCGGTTTACGACTAATCAGTTTGTCTTGGTGTCAAGCCCCTTGAGACCCGCGACCAGAGTTTTCTTTTCAACTCAACTCTTGCGGTATTAATCCTTGTGTAACATCCTCTCTGATGAGAAGATGGGTTTTTCTCTTATGAACACGCTTGGCCTTTCGCCAAGCTTAAATTTTGCACAAATAGCATGTTATTGATTAGTCCTGTGTCAGTAGAGGCTTTGCAGAACAGATCATGCGTCTCTTACATATCTTATGCTGCAACGACAGCCTTGTCATTTGAACGGTCCTAAGCTTGAAACCGTCAAGGTCAAGCTCCTCATAATTTTTGTATCTGGCTTCTCCTTGTCCTACACCCCGAATATGTTCATTCTCGTGATTCCGCATCGAGCAGGACGAGAACCAGCCGCAGGCTCTTGCGATCCTGTGCTTTTCTGTGCTTTCAGGTTCTCTAAGAGCGCGGAATATTTTTGATTTGGATTGGTCATATCTTACGCTGTAACTGCCTTCTATAAGAAGTTATTGAAGGAAAGATAGAGGGGCGGATAGAAGTGACCAGAAGACGAGGAAGAAGACGTAAGAAGATGCTGGATGACCTTGGGGACAGAAGAGGATATTTTCATTTGAAGGAGAAAACTCTAGATCGCATCACATGGAGGAACTGTTTTGGAAGAGACTGTGGACCTGTCGTCTGACAGATTACTCATGAATGAATGAATGAATGAATGAATGAATGAATGAAGAAAAATGGTTTTTTAAGAAGGACTCTTCTCCGCAGAATTAGTGGATTGAAAACAAATTCCAAGTGGGACACAAAATTAATAGCTTTGCTTCAATAAGAATGAAAAGGTTATTTACAATTAGAAAACCTCCCTGGAAACAGTATCAAGGTAAAAGTGGACTTACCGGAGATTACAAATAAAAATTGCGCAATGAGAATTCGAGTATGGGTCTCTTCTTCTTCTTCTTCTTCTTCTTCTTGCTTGATAGTCTAGGTTGCCTCACTTTTCCAATCTTCTCTTATTGTAGGTAAAGCAAAGGGAACACAGGACCTGAACATTCAACTGAGAAACTTGGCCTCCAGTGACGTCGCCATTTCCAAACTTTGAAGAGACGGTGAAGGTAAGAAAAAAATGGTTCTTAATTATGTAAGTATCTGAGCTGGAAGGACGGTAAAGGGGCTCAGAATCTGATCCAGTCTTGGAAATATTTTCGCGGTGCTGAATGTCCAAGTTATGTTACCGCAGACTTAGCTATTCAGTCAATCGTTGAGTTAGTTAGTTAGTTAGTTAGTTAGTTAGTCACACATAAATATATCGGCAATCACATCTCTAAATAATCGCTATTTATGCACATCAGCGAGACTGAATGCTGATCGGAATGGACGCGTGCGCTAAGGCACGAAATGTCTTCGCCCGTCGAAAGAGTGCGGTCGTTGACTCGAAACATGTCTGTCTGTCTGCGTATGTTCTGTTTGTGTTGTCCTGTATAGGTAATGGCTCTACGAAGGGCTGATCGCCCGCTTAATGAGTCCTAGAAACCATATGTAAGATTTATAATTTCACAATTAATTACTTCTGAATGCGAACAGGTGAGAGAGCTTACTTCGTCAAGGAAGAAGAAGCTTGCAAATTCAGTACTAACCGAAGCAACGAGACAAACACGCAAGAAAGGGCCACTTCTTTACAATGGGAACCCCTCGTGCTCTGTTATGGATTTTGTTGTTGTACCGACAGCATTCACGCAGGTTACAGGGAGTATTTGTGTTGACACTATGCATTATTCACACGACGCTTATTCACACACGCGTGCTTCTTGATGGACAGTGAATGCTTGTCCGTCAGCATCTGTATGCAGTGCGCCACTCAGTGTCAGCCCTGGTTCGAAACCCACCATTCTTTTCAATGAAAAATATTTTATGTAATTTTTGCAGTGCATCAGAACTGTGAGAGTTATACCGGAGGTTCCTTTTGTACTAGGGGCTCCACTTCGTGTGCTCACAGTTCAATTATATGATTAAATATAGAAAGCAATAAAACTGCGGGTTTCAAAACGCTCTTCTAAATAAGAATTCTTTCATAAGAATGACGACAACCGAAGACAGAGAGACCTACATGCTACTACAAATATTACTGCAACCAACGCGTAGCACACACACAGCACCCTTACTATTTTATTGTACAGAGAGACGTGTCTCATCTACTTTTCTCTATTTTCAGGGGATGTTAATATTACTGAATGTTTTATATAATTTGTTACAGTACATTTATTACAATCTTTTAATTTTCTAAAGGCCTACAAGTCTCTAAACTTACGTCTTTTCTCTCTTATTCATGTACACATCCCGTCATTGTTCCATGTTGTTTGTTTATTTGACGACGTTGTCTGTAAGGTTAAGTCCGCCTCTATGGTATACTTGTAGTTATCAGAGTTCCTGGCTACAGATCCATAGGCCCCGGGTTCGATTCCAATTGCAACAAGATTTTTTTCTGAGAAGTAGTGCTTCTGGAACGGGGTCCACTCAGCCTCATGAGGATAATTGAGGAGCTATTCAAGGTTTGAAAACCAAAATTAACGGCCGTGTGGATTCGTTGCGCTGACCACGCTACACCCTCCATCCGCAAAACATAGTACTAACTTCGCCGATAACCTGCGGTCGCTCGGCCGGTATAGTTCGCTTGCAGACTACAGGCCACGAAGTTTGCTTTCATTTGTTTGTCAGTAAGATTATACGTGGTCGAATGTTCCAATTGTGCTGAATAGTAAGTTATGACGTCTGTAGAAAGAAACGTTCTCGGCCTGCTTTAAATTACCGCCACGGCATTTGTCTAGAAGGAATGAGAATTGTTAAGAAAACCCTCAGTCAAAATGGTCGGTTTTCCTATCCAGATTCGAGGGGAGTACCTCCCGAATACAAGTCAGAAGCTTTAGATCTTGAGCAAACTTGCTGGATTTGTTCTCTGCTACTTTACCGCCGTGCTGTCTGAAAGTACCCGACGTGCGAATGATGTTGAGTAGTAGTGACATGATCTAAGGAAGAACTTAAATTCGATTCTCTTTTCCGTCACTTCCAAACCGGCTCTGGGCTCCATAAAGTCTCCTACACCGGGGGCTCTTTCCCCGGCGTAATGCGGCCGGGGCGTGAAGCTGATCACTCACCTCCATCTATTGCGAGTCTAAGAATAGCAGAGCTGTACGTTTACACTCCTATACGCCTTCATCATGGTGTGCTTAGTTAATTAAACATAGGGGTAACCTTATCTTTTTACCTAGACCTTACGCGAAATTTATACGTGAATAGTAAAGCCTAGCTTATTCATGTTTGTTCTTCTTCGCTTCTGCTTTACAATGTAGAACCCCGAGATGTAAAGGTAATGTAGAACACTGTGTAGACTATGTGTGGTATGTTTAAGTTACGGACAAAATTATTATAGGCTGGAGAAACTGCACTAAAAGTGAAGAAGAGGTAAAATTCTGGACAGGAATTTTTCATTAATTGTACGAAAATTCCAGCACTATAAAATGAATTTAAGTAAACATTTATTCATTTATTCAGTCCTGCGAGATAATATATTCTGTTGTTGCACAAAATGAGATTATCGATAGCAATAAATTTCCCGACATTCGCATGAATCGTGCCAGTGGGGGGTTGTAATCCGGGCCCAGACAACACAAAGTGGTGGGTCACTCCTGCTGCAGGCACATAAATCCCCGGATGGGGCCACTTGTTACATGCCCAGTCAACAAAAGCCGCGGGTTTCAATGCAAACTATTATTGAGTCGAACTGGTGCTCGTGACCTAGCATCATGACGCTCTCGATGAAAAGCTGGTCCCTTATTTATCGACGCTTTATCAATATCGGAATGTTAACTATGAATGAAGATTTCGAACGGATGGAAGAAGATACCTGCATTCGCTAGGGAAGCCTGAATTAGTAGTAGTAGCAGTAATAGTAGTAGTAGTAGTAGTGGTGGTGGTAGTAGTGGTGGTAGTAGTGGTAGTAGTGGTAGTAGTAGTAGTTGTTGTTGTTGTGGTGGGGG